CTCTTTCCCTTGTTATTCTTCAGGTCAAACTCACTCTTGTGCTCTATCTCTTCCTAGACAATACTAAGCTCTCTCCCGACGTAGTTGTCGATCACTAACCAAGTATTTTTGTTAGCTGCACCGTTCATTTCAGTGGAAACTGCTAACTTGAAGTATTTTTCACTCAATGTTCTTCAACTTCAAGAAATATGCAGCTGAAACAATCAAACTCTCCTTAAAATACAAGGTCCATAGACTTCCTTTTGTGTACATCCGGAGGTACAGTTATGTGAATGTGTATATGAAATGGAAAAAGGATTCGTACTATGACTCAATTGAGCTCATCCATGAGTCTATTCAGCTCAAGCCAATCATTGCCCTAAAAAATTGTATTGTCCAGGATCCAAATGGGTGCATTCCGATCTCTGCTGTGTCAAAGAGGGGATTGGAGTTAGATGTGCCCATGAAGGTTGCAAGATTTATGAGGCAATATCCGTCCATTTTTCAGGAGTTTACAGGTCCCAAATACAATCATCCATGGTTCAGGTTGACACCAGAAGCTGCCGAGATTGACGGAGATGAGAAGAGAGTATATGAAGAATGCAGGGAGGACTTAAGGTCCAGGTTGAGGAAGATGATATTGATGACCAGAGAGAATGTTTTACCTTTAAAGATAATTCAAGGGATGCAGTGGTATTTGGGGTTGCCTAATGATTTTCTGCAGCACCCAGAACAAAATCTTGATGAATCTTTCAGGTTTGTAGAGATGGAAGATGGATTGAAGGGGTTGGCTCTTGACAGCGGAGAAAAGATTTATTCTGTAATGGAGAAAAATGCCTTGAAAAGAGGTTTGTACTCTGGGGGTCCAATGGAAGCCATTGAATTTCCATTTTTTCCATCAAAGGGTTTAAGGTTGAGGAGGAAGATTGAGAACTGGCTACATGAATTTCAGAAGCTTCCTTATGTTTCACCTTACGATGATTTTTCAAACTTGCATCCAGACAGTGACATAGCAGAGAAAAGACTTGTGGGAGTTCTTCATGAACTACTTTCCCTTTTTGTCGACCATTCAGCCGAGAGGAAGAAGTTGTTTTGCCTTAAGAAGTACTTTGGGTTGCCACAGAAAGTGCATAGAGCGTTTGAGCGACATCCCCATATGTTTTATCTATCTTTCAGCAACAAAACTTGTACAGTCATTCTAAAGGAAGCTTACAACAATAATTCGGCCATTGAGAAGCATCCTTTATCGAAGGTGAGGAAGAAGTACATCAAGTTGATGAAGAAATCGAAAGTAATTTTAAGGAACAGGAGGCTGAATAGTCAATTCTCTAATTGTAATGCAAAATTGGATTTAAATTCAAATGATTTAGATGAAAAGGGATGTGAGATAGCAAGTTGCACTTTGGAACAGGTTATGTGAAAATTTATAAAAGTAGGCTTAAGATTGCTTTATCAACAGAGAAAGAGACAACTAGCTGCTGATTATCAAAAGTTGAAAATGGTCGCTCATCTAGCGGTATGCTAGCCTTGAGGTATTTTTTCAATTTCATCTCTCTAAACCCTAAACCCATACACACACGGTTGTGATTAGTTTATGTAAAAAACTGGATTAACTCTTGAATTCTTTAACCTAGCACATTTTTAGGTGTTTTAACTGTTTTACGTTTGTGGTGTGGCTATGTATGCTACTATACTCTGTGCCCGAACTTGTTAACATACAATAACATTGTATTTATTCTTTGGCAAGTCACACAAGCTTTTCCTAACTTGATTATTGTTGTCCTGCTATCATTTTGTAGAGATGTAGTCTCGTTATTACCCAGTGTGTAATATTTTGATGGAATTTGCTATATGACATTATTTTAATGAAGTTTTGTATTGTGTCTTTTGTATTTAATGGATTGAACTTGTGTCTTTGGTAAAAGTGTGGTGAGTCATTGGATAGTTGGCCAACAGAAATGTATTACTGAGCTTATTTAGTTAGGTTATTGTGTTTTTTTTCCTGTTATCGTTGGCTCTGTATGATTGATGAACATGTTACTGAGGGCTTGGACACTGGGTGAGTGAAATGGTTTGGAAAATGTTATGAGAAAATGGCCAAAGTTAAACTTCCTGGAATGATGTCTGCCTGGTATTTCACTATTTCAAGAAATGTGCAATAGTATTTGCATGCCGTTAAATAACCAATTTGTAGAAATAACTCCTTTATATTTCCTTGATATCTTACTTAGAGAATAGTATTTTTCTTAAATATATAGTGTGATAGTATAGTGATCCCAGTTAGAAAGTACAACACAAATACGTTAAACACAATTTTTTCCTAACAATGCAAGAAGAAAAGTCTTGTAATTTCCTGATGTCTTCTTAGCCACTGAATTGCCAAGTGTGACACCATTTCTCTTAAAGTAAATGTCATCAATTTCATTTAAATCCTTCTCTGCACGAGTGATGATAACACGGCTCAAAGCATGGTCTTCAGCTATCAAATTACTCAAGGCGTGGCTTAAAACCTAAGTCAAGTCAATGTTTACATGTTCAATAGAAGTTGTAAAATAGAGAATAGTGGCTAACATAATTTGATGATTTCAGTTACCTTGGTCAAGTATCTTCGAGGGTTCTTAATGCAACGAAATGTAGTACGCAGTGCTACCATGTATTCATCAATTGGACTAATTGATAATCCCTACAATCAGCAAAGAATACCAATGTGTAGTTAGTTGGTGATTTTATCAGTTAAACCCTTGATTTTTTTTCATAAGATTTTATTTTATGAATACATTTAAATCCATAAACCCTAAACCCTTATTTTACTGTCAAACCTTATTTCAATTGAGTACATTTAAATCCATAACATAGTATCTTTAATAATTCTTATAGCATTGAAATTCCTGATCACTGGTGAATGGTGATGTGTTCCTTCTTATATCATTACCTTGGTAATTGTCGTGCCATAAATGTTTCTAAAGGTGCTAAAAGTTGCGCACAGCTGCTTCTTACTTCTTGTGCATAAAATTCTAAAGATTTCATCGTCGTTAAAAGTCTTCTGTTCTATTAATTCATGAAGAACATTTGCTTCTAAATGGGCCAGATTTTCATCAAACTCGTCTCCATCATACCTATAGGTGCTTACAACTGCAACCAACAGCTGCATGAAAAATCATATGCCTCTAATTAATTTGGATCGTAATTCAATTGTAAAATAGAAAGGATGAAAGGTTGTGGATACATTTGTATTTATATTCAAGCAAATTGATCTGGTTTGTGCTAGTAGAAAATATTACTTCTATGCACTAAAAGAAGTAATGCATGTAAATGAAAGATTATCAATGCATACATTTGTGCTAACTTTCATCTTCAACATTGAAATCAACAAGAAAACAATTTACTCTCCCTTATTATTAACTGAAATCAACATTTGTAAAATGAGAATTGTGTCCATTCATATATTATACTCCAAATAAAAAATTTACGTGTATAGTAGATAATAGGATAGGTTTAACAATAATCACTAAAATAGACAAATGATAAGATCTTGGAATGTAAATTTAAATTTAATTCAACTCTACAAAATTTGTTTTTAAGATAAAGATTATCTTTACTTATATGCATTACTTTAGACAATGTGATCGATCTGAAATTTTTAGTATTAGTTTCAAAATTAATAATTGTTCTTTCATTTAAGATGTTATCCTAGGGAAACAATTAATTCTATGTAATTCTCACTATAATTTTATATTTGTCTTTCATAAATTGAAATATGTTTTTCAGAAAACGAAACATGTAATAGCTTAGTAACCCACTTACTCTGCGGATATCACCAATTGTTTTGGATGCCAAATCTTCTTCAAGGCAATGCTTGTATAGGAAGTGGTATGAACGCTTTACAGCAAGAAACTCCTCTGAAGTTCTTGTGCAAGCAATCTCAATAATTACTTTGTAATCTGGTGTTTCCTTCTTTAATACTTCGTTAATAAATGCAGCATCTCTTTCAGCTGGATCCATCGTCCAATCGCAAATAGCTCTCTAATTTGATGGATCCATCATCCAATTGAAAATAGATCATATTTGGCAATAAGAAAAAAGTTAATCATCCAATAGATACACCCAAACTATTTTAATGTTACATGATTTGAAACTTATTTCAATTAAATTGAATGTTAACCAAATTATCCTATGTCGTGGGTCAGCTTGGATGGAATATGTTTGCCATAAAAAAATAATAAATAAATAAAAACTAGCCCAATATGTATTTATAAGAACAAGATTAAAAAAAATCACTCGATTTGAATTCTATAGAATAATCTGTTTTAAATTTTGAATAATCAATGAAAAATATATTGAAGTTGGATCTAGTAGTTTTTTATATATTACTATCTCTGATTTTATTTTATTTTTTTATGAGAAACAAGTAATTTACACCATCTTTAGAAAACTAATGGTATGAATTGTAATATTTTTACCTGAAAGCTTCCTGAAAGTTCAGATTTGAGTTGTTGGATAAGATCTTCATGATAAATTTCTTCATAAGCCAGCCTCACAAGTTTCCTTTGAGCTACATCTCGATGTGCTAGTATGGATATAAGAGTTGTCTCATCTGTCCCCAATCCTGAATCATACATTATTAAAAGAAAAATAAAAATACATTGTTAGAAATCTAGTAATCTAGTAAGTTTAATGTGTATACCCATGAACTTGATATGTAAGGTGTTGATTTTATAAAGGAAATCTAGATAATTTTATAGAAAGTAAGATGCAATGGGACACGAACCAATTGTTGGATGCATCATTATGATAAAAACAAAAATACAAAATGTGACATAAGAATGATTTAATTTGTATGAGTTTTGCAAAGGTGTCATGATTACTTAAAAATTTATACCATTAGTATTGAAAATTAAAATTATATTATACTAATATGACATAAGAATGCATTAAAATTTATAAGCATACATAAATAACAAAATTAAAATTATATAAAATAATATGATTACTTATGTTATATGGTTTAAAAAACTTCACATGACACCATTTACAATAAGTTAATATTTAATAATGATTTATTTCATTCTTCTTCACATATATGATATATGGTGATGTATCTAATGATATATATATATATATATATATATATATTATTTTATTTTTATTTTATTTTTTTATTATTTTTATTTTGTGTTAACATAAAAGATACATAGATACAAAATAAAGTTGGAGAAAGATAACCTTTGCATGCCTTCTTGATATTTTCAGCGTCTTCAATTGGAGAAGAATCTTTTGCAGCAATTAGAGTAGCCATTTGGTCTTGTGTGTCAAATCTTACTTGGTGCCAATATTTGTTCAAAAGAGTTAACTATATTTTCTATTTTATAGAAGAGAAAAAGCAAAATTAAAATAACATTCGTAACAGTTAAACTACATATGTTATTCTAAAACAGTTCTTGTCAATTAAAAAAGTAACTTAAATATGTTATTGTAAAAGATATTCCCAAAAACATGAATAACGAACTTAGCATTAAATAGATCATCAATAAAAAAAAATGTAACATAAAATCTTTATAACGTTGAATTAAACCATAAATTTATATTTTTAATGACAAATGTATCGTTTTTACTCACTGACACACTCCTATTATATATAAAATACAAGTATGAGAAACGAAAATTTTAAAACAAATTATTTTATTTAATATTGGTAAAAGTTGTTGGAAGGAATATTTTAATGTGACAATCAAAGTAATCATAACAACCTACGTTGTTTAGTTTTCTTTGTTGTATCTAATAATTGAGAATGAATTATTTTACGAGTTTAATGAATAATTGGATGTACATCTTCTGCGTAAAATATTTTTATACCATCAATTATTTAGAAATCAAGTTTGATGTGATTTTTAGAGTGATTATTATCAAAATTAATAAACTTAGAATAATATCTTATGATTGAATGACAATTTACATTGTCGTGTACTTTTTTATTTTATTCAATTAATTTTTGCCTAAATGACAACAAAAAGTTGCATAAAAGATGTAAATAAATAAATAAAAACTTGGATATACATAAGATCAAAGTGATATGCAAACATCTAAACCATAACTTACAAAACAGTACAAAAAACTGTTTACTCTGAAACGGGCCATAGAAGGGAGTATCCCATAAAAGCCCATTTGGCCTTTTCATAGCCTTCTTACCATTCTTGCTCAGCCTATTTCTATTTGACTTTGTTCACAGGAAAAAACAAATGTCACATGTTTACACTCTTTTGAAACCATATTTTTGTATCAACATTCTGGTTGCTAACTTGGGTTGCTTATGAGTTATGACCGATTTAGATGTCAAGAAGCATTACTCCAAAAACACGAGTGAATATTCCTCCCATAATATATATATCCACGTTGGCCTTATGTTTAAAAACATAAAAAAGAGGAAGTTTCATAACTTTATGCATCAATATTCAAAAGAATCTGAGAACTTACATTATTGTGTATTCTTTTTCTTCTAAAAGATAATACTTCTGATATATATACTGACTATACGTATCCTTCACTTTGAGTGCATGTAAGAGAATCCACCTACAACAGTATACATTGACACGCAAGGACAAAGCACGACTTTTGATGTGAATGTTGTTGAATATAGTGAGAATTGAAAAGATGGTGTGAAATGGCTATACGATGTCACCAAATATCTGGTGGGTCACCATAGTGTGAACCATATATTATATATCAATATCATGATATAGATTGGAGTTCGACTCGTCATGAAGATTAGTCTCAAAAAGAGAGACTCACTTTTTTTTAACAGTTATGATAATGCTGTTACCAAGTATATTCACAGTTAAAAATAGTTACTAATCTTCTATTAGGAGTAGTAAATACATATAAAGTTAATATTTCTCTTGCAATGTAGTATATTTTGTACTCAAGATTATATATTGTATCAGTAACAATTTGATTAAGAGATACAAATTATTATCACTTGTATCAATCAAAAAAAAAGAAATTCAGTAGTAATGTACGAGGTAGCCCTTCATGTGCTGGCACAGGAATGTTTCCCAAATCAAAGCCTGTCATGATCTGCAACTATCCACTACCGTAACAACCTCTTTAGCATATGCAGTGTGGGAGTTGTTTATAAGTAACTCTCTGTACTATATCATGTCACATCAACTCTTTTTTATTTTATGGGTTGCTTAAATTTTAACAAAGTTGCTTGTAGAAGTTTCAGTGCTAAAATTTAAGCAACTTATAAAGTGGAAAAGAGCTGATGTAACATAGGGGATTGCTTATAAGCAACCCCCAATGGAGATGCTCTTAGAGCATCTGCAGTGGAGTTACTTATAAGCAACCTCTTGTACCACATCACTGCCATATCAGTTCTGGCCTACTTTATAGGTTACTTAAATTTTAGAAGCAATTTTGCTAAAATTTAAGTAACTCATAAAATGAGCCAGAACTGATATGACAGTGATGTGACACAGAAAGTTGTTTATAAGCAACCTCCACTGCAGATGCTCTTAGTTGTTACCATGGAGTTGCATACTGCAGGTGCAGGAGACAAATAATGAACATATGTGCTGCTTTTAATGAACTGGACTCAACGATTGAATTCGGTCACCTCTCTTTTTCACTGTCAGATTTGTAAATGAAATGTGTCCAAAATTTCATGCGTTAATCATGCACTGCGATGCAAACAAAACAACACTGGCTGGTTTTAGTTGCAAAGTGAAGCACAGTTATTTATATATTCCAAATGGCACTTCCATAACGTACCAAGTAAGAAATAAATATTTAATTTGCTCAATTGTAATAAGGAGTTTACATATGAAATTGGCCGATTCCTTTACAAATGAGAAGGATTTATAATATGTAATTGATCGGTTTCACTTTCTTTCAGTGCAGCAACACTAGATTTACTACCAGATATTTAATCGATGGAGAACATGTATTCTTTTTATAGTGAATGATATGTAAGAAACTAAATCGTTTAGGAGGTAAAAAGTTGTTCTTTTCCCACTTTTGTAATCACGATATACTATTGATTTATTATTATTAGGAATGGACAACCCATTGAATACCTATTTTTGTAGGGGAAAGTTGGAAAAGTCTCTAAGGAGTGTTTGGATGAATTGATTTAGGTTTTCAGAAGTAGCTTATATATAACATTCTTATAAGATTTTGTTTAATTATTTTAAGAATAAGCTTCCATTTGATGAAAACTTAGTGAATAAATACTCAATTAAGAATGTTCGAATACTAGTTTGGAACAATTAATTTTCTATAAATTTTCCATTATGACATGATGGATTTCAAACGAATTTTGTAGAAACTCTTAAAACCACCATTTTACCTATAGGAGGCATTCAGTGGATCACTGAGTCACTATTTTTTTTATATAAAAACTTAAATTAAGACAAGTTACAACTCTAATTAAGGTTAGAATCAACCATTAACTTCTTTAAGGATTTCTATTAGCATTATGTATTATTTATCATATCTTTGTATTAGTTTGCATGAAAAAATATAAAATATAAAAAAAAGTCAAATTTAATTCTAGATCTTAATTAGTAAGAGTAAAAAGACTTAATCGATTGTACATCGCATGCAATCACTGACCCACTGGCATGCATGCTGAGTTATTATGATGTTAAAAGTAAAAACTATGTAAAAAAATAATAATAATAATAATAATAAATAAAAAAAATAAAAAAGAAGAAGAAGTAAAAACTGCATGAGTCTCATGCTTTTTATTTTAAGTCTTGCTATGCCTTTATGTTAGTCGTGAGTGGACTGGTAGTCTATTTTGGAACCTCAATTTAGTTTTCTTGTATTGACTAATTCACTTTTATTAAGGCTGCATTTACTTTTTGCTCCATAAATTTGTCCACTTTTCAATTCAAGCAACACAAATCTAACTGTCCTTTTTCTAAAATATATTTTCTTTTCTTTTTCTAAGTTAATCATTTTTGTTTCCTTCCGTAGCCTCGGCATGCTACTGATATTAGAGGTAAGAAAAAGTGTGCAGTCAAATGCACTGGAGCAGAAAATCTTGCTCCTTATCCATGTCTAACTCTTTGTGATGGCTATTTTACCCCTTTACAGAAAGAAAAAGAAAATAAAAACTTAATTCCACAACTTACAGCATTTTTTTTAAGCAAGTAGACATCTAACTGAAGGGCTAAGCTAGAATTAAAAGGAAAAGATAATGCGATATTTTTTCCATGGCTGCTGATACTGTTTATTCAACCCAAAACAGTAATAATTAACTTGATGAAAATGAAAGACCACTTCATGCCTATATGCAGTCTTTGTCTCTAGAGTAAAATTAGGACCATTGACGGAGTTGCTGATACATAAATGATAAAGTGATAAGTTTTGGAGGAATCCGCAACTTCAGATGTCAAATTTTTTTTTTCACTAAAAAATATCATCTAACCTATAGTTGATGCATAGAGATTATGAAAATTAATTTTATCTTTCACAACGATTTTTTCATATATGTGGTCAGGAATCAAACTTCTGAGAATTCAGCTATCTATAATTTGTTGGATCTTGTTGGTGGTCATATTCTTTTCTACATTAGTAACTTCATTGACTCATAATATCTTCTTGAATATGTCAAAAAACTACAATGTTTTTAGTTTGAACTTTATATTCTTAGGAGAGTGTTTTCCACGTGTTTTGTCCTTGTCTTTTCTGGTTTGCAGAATACATGTAGATATATCCTGTGGACATGTTTGTTGAATTTATAGTACACATATTCTGTTCCTGTGACCATTTGACTGATAAGAAATTGGTATTTGGTAAGCGTAGGTCAAAGTTTCTACTCGAGTCACATTGTAAAATCTAACCATCCTCAATTCCAGCAATCCCCTGTCATCACTAAATCATCCCATTATATATATATTAAAAAAAAAAAAAAAAAAAAAGCCAGAAAATTCCACCCTTGTCACTTGTAAGAATCTTCTATCTCTTTTCTCTTGTATTTTCTATAACAAATTTAAGCATTTAAATATATCCAAAGCACCTTCAAATTCAACTGTGATGCACAAAATCAGGTATCAGCATTGCCATCCAATATAAAACCGGTAGGACAATAGGGATATACTTGTCTAAAAATTAAGATATAGTGCAGCAATATATGGTATAACATAAATATGTAAAATTATATATATTCTTAAAAAAAATATATAAAAGAAGGAAACATAAGACCTTGTGAATAGAGCGCATAATAGGCCACTACATGATTGAGAGAAATAGTGAAGAATTCTATTTTATTTTGTGATTTTAAGTACATGAGGATTGAATTCCTATCCATATCAGTATGGAGAACATTTAAAAGTATCTATGTTTCTTCAATGTTTCATAAACATCAATGAATTTTATGAAATACAATTTTCTAGTCTTCTTTTCTTGAGTGTAGCTGTGACACACTGACACTTGTTATTGGTATATTTTCTCACTGTTATGACAGAGTTACCAAGGAATTTCTTGACCATCCCAGGCAAAGAACTTGCCATTGTCATGGCTCTTCACATTGTTAATGATGCTTAGTAGCTTCTGGACTGAAAACTCTTTGCTGAAGAGCTTTTCTGGTGGCACATTTCTTTGAAATGGCTTAGAGAGATCTGTGTCAACCGTACCAGGATGCAGCAAAATGCACACAATTGGATCCTTCTTTCTTCCAAATTCCACGGAGACAGTCTTCGATACTGTTAGAATTAAGGGGAGAAAAGGTTGCAAATATTACTATTTTGCCAATGCAACATTACATACAACTATAAAACTGAACAGAGCTCTTAGGGCAGTGAAAGATAAGAATGTTTTATGCAAGCACTATCAACAGAAGAAATGCCTTTTTCAGTTTTAGGTGATAATTGCATTTACAAGATTGAACCATGTAGTTGCTATGGAAATCCGACAATTTGCAAGATCCAATCAGATGATGAATTTTTCAGTTGGATCATGCTGGATCCTTGTACACGGGATGGGATGAGTTGTGTACTTGTTATAGTACATAACTAAGACAGATTATATGTTTAGTAGTACCATAATCAGATCTCATTTGTAAGATTCAATGAGACACTTGAACTTATCATATTGAATATCTTAAGACAGTGAAGATGATAATAATAAAGTCATACATTGATTAAGAGCAGCCTTTGAAGATCGATAAGAATGCCAGCCGCCAAGACGATTGTCCCCAATAGATCCAACCCTTGCACTCAAACTAGCCACAACTGCAGCACTTCTTTCAGTCCCATGGCCGCCTCCTACTTTTAGAAGAGGCCACATGTGCTGATTTCAAGATTCACAGAATTAGATATAAAACATTGACACCAAATTATTGAAAACAAATTAATTCATTTAATCAAAGATAAAGGAACGCTTTTGAAAGTAGACAGTAACAATGATAATTCACAAATGCATTGTTGGAATTATTGCAGAAAACCCTAAAATTATAATAAAAAAGGTAAGATGTTAAAGGAAAATCATTACTTTGGGGCCTGGAAGGACCAATATCCCTTTAACAATTCTCCCATGAAAAAATCTTGCAGGCAATGGAATGGCAAAACTAATCATTTTTTCATTAACTTCGGAACTGAGTGAATTACTCAAATTTAAATGGAGCTGATAGGATCCCAATAGAGAGTCTAATAGGGCTCTTATCATGAATAGAACCATTTTATGAAAGCAAACAGGAGAGCACGGAACTGTAATAGAATTTGCGCAGTAGTTTCATCTCATGCGTCAAATCTGCATGGTCGATATCTATTTATAGCTGTTAGCTGAAACACATGGTTAAATTTTTCAGCAACAATTCTTTGTGTGCATCTCTTGGAACAAGTGCCCTGGGGCATGCCACATGCATAGACACAAATGCTATGCTATAACTTGATATATAACTATATGGTATAGGTCCATTTTTGAAACTAATTCGTGATAATAATAGTTACTGACTGGTACAAAGGCAGTCTGTTGTTTTAAAATATTCCAAGTCCTACTAACCTGTGAGAATTTGAATTTTGTCCATTCATACAATATCATATTTCATCAAACTCTGTATGCCCTCACACAGAACTGTGTAAAAAATAATGCTCTTGGAATTCTCAGTCAATAATTGAGATATTTTATACTAGTTTAGACATGCATCAATGTAGACTCACACAAGTGATCTTGGGGATGTGAATTCATGTGATGAAGGATTTAAGCATCAAAATGGAAAAAAGATACAGCCAAGGAGTTGATGGCAGAGAAATGGCAAGGCACCTTCTGTTAGTGAGATTGAGAGACAATTGAACCAGTGATCTCTCTGGAGTTACTGATGCAGAGAAAAGAGTGGTTGTTTTCCAGCCTTTGGATAAATGCCAATGAAATGGTATTGCAAACGGTATGTGCCTTTCATGGAAATGACATGATTTGGAGGATTAGCCAGCTTTCGGATAGCTGAAACAAATGCGTCTTGTGTACACATAGTATGTGCCTTTCATGGAAATGACATGATTTGGAGGATAGCCAGCTTTCGGATAAATGACATGATTCAGAAGAAGTTGCGTCTTGTGTACATATAGTCCATCTTATTTAGATTCAATCTAAGAATGCATTAGATGCAAGGGCAAATCAAGGACTGATTACAGACGAAATCAACAAATTGAACTGCTCTCATCATAGAAAAATTGTAGAGTAATTTTAGAGAAGTGTGTGGTGACAAATTGGAAGGTAATCTTTGAACTTCAAATGCATAATACATAAAATGCAAATTAAGAATGAATTATTAACATAAGGACTACATTAAGAATGTGATACATGTATAAGGACTAAATTAAGAATGTGTTTGAGAGTTAACGATCAACGAATAATGATAGGGACTAAGCCAATAATGTTTGCACATGTAGGGATGAATTTAACAAGTTTTTATATACAAAAATCAAATTGAGAATCCGAGACACAAATAGGGACTAAATTATATTTTTAACCAAATGCAAAAGGTCAGGAGGAGTATATTGATAATGTTAACTTTTACTTATAATTATTGGTCATATCACATTAACAAAATCAACTTTTCAATAGTTTTTAATTACCTTAGTCCTCCTTTTGATATTTTTTGTAATTAATTAGATATTAGTTACCATTATCTAACTATACCACTAATCTCCATTTTTTGTCTAACATTTGATCAGAAAGTAAATTTAGAGCATGAGAAGACACATGGAAGTGAAGAAAGAATAATTTTTGAAAGCCCTCCTTGAAGATTTGCTAGCGTCGGGCACCACTCTACTTGGGCCCAATGCGACCTTGGCAGAGAGGCCTCTTTCATGCTTCTGATGCCTGAGCTCTAAGTGGGTCAACTTGCACTGGGTGCCATTTTTATGACATGACACTTTTTGCTCACTTTTTCCCTCTCTCTTTTCGAGGGATTTGGAACATTCTTCATCACCTTCAACCTTCTCCTTGACTCTCCATCTTTCATGGTTCATCTTATTTTCTTTTTTGTGCTCTATGACAATGAGGAGCTAAATCTATTCTTGTTGGAGATTGGAGTTATATATAACTAATCAAACTCTCATGTAATGTGTACTTAATGTATGTATATGTGTGTGTCCATTTCAATGTTAGTATTTTGTTTCTACTCTTAATGTTTGTTGTGGAGTGATAAACCATAGTTTGATATTTGATTCCTTAGGTATCGGAAAATATCCTTTGTAATCTAGAACTGGAATAAAATACCTAATGGAGCTTGTATCTAGGAATAGAACTTAACCCATTAACATACCATTTCATTTTTAATATAAACCGTTTTCTAATTATTTGATAAAATACCGAAAAGAACTTTACCTTTCTTTTGCATAGTTTTTATTTATTTTACAAATCAACATCAATTAATAGAATATTCTTTTGTCTAAATTAGTTGTAAATTATACTGTTGTTGTGTATTACATAAGTCTTTTGGGAGACGATATTTACTCACACTACTGACTACTTGTGCAACTGGTGTGTTTGTCATAATAACTTAACATATATAGACAGGACTAAGAGCAAG